GTGGTTCTTCGCTTCATTCTCAACATTATACGGCACCTACCCTATGAAATGTGTACTATTTATTATTATCATAGTTAAGGAAATTTGAGTTTCAACTAAGGCTACTCAGCTAGTATATAATGGAACCCAAATTCTACCATATCTTGCACTTCTTCTATTAAACCTTAGCTTTATTTTTGCCATTTACTATCTTAAGTATCTTTGATGTGTGGCAGGTTACATTCTTGAGTCTCAATTTCTTCATCTGTAAAATTTAATATTTTTCTAATTTGACTATGCCTAAACCCAAATGTAGACCTGGACTATATGCAGAAATTTGCTTTTATCATATCTAGATATGATACTTTTCCTATAAATATTCTCATTTTTAATGCTGTTAATAGATAGATGGTATTCATAGTAGATCCTTCTGTTTGTTGAATGACTAAATAATCATGAAAAACAAAATAAAGATCTGAAAGGCATTTTTCTGTATAGTTCTGACACAATGCATTTCTGACCAGCCCCACCGCCCCACCTGACTCCCATCCTTTGAACGTCTTTTCTTACTCCAAACCTAGAGTGCAGGGCAAGGACCCAGCAGCTTTACAGAAATTGGTCATATGTGTTAAGCAAATGGGAGGAGCATCCTACTGTCATCATTTATTCAGTACCAACCAACAGTGCTGAGGTCTTCCCCAGGTCTTATCTAGGCAGCCCTGGGGAAAAGGCTCTGATTAATAGACTCTAATTCACAACATAGTACTGATTATTTTGAAAAATTCACGCCCTATTCTTTCCATAAGAAAAGATTTTGTAGGCCACAGACGGGCACAGACAGCAAGTCTCATTTGTTGAATAAAAAGCTCAATATAACAAGCAGTACCTGAGTTTCTTCGTCTTACTCCCCTCTGCCCCCTGGCGGCAGCTTCTAAGCTTGAGGTGAGAGTGCCACTTACTGTTAGACTCATCTCATTACAATTGAAAACAGTTAAATTTTTCCAAATGCCAAATGCGAAGGAAAAAACACTTAGCAGGAAAGGTAGTTGATCTTTGATACCTTACTAAGTATCAGAAATTGTGCTAAATATTTTGTTGTCTCACTTAAGTCTTAGAAAAATCCTTTAATTTTTATTTCTGTGACTATTAGTAGAAACACACTGGTTCTGCGAAAACACTCCAGTTTAGAATACAACCACCTAGATCATAACCTGTAGGCCAAATACCGTTGGCTGCCTGTTTGGTACACTCCACAAGCTAGGAATCATTTTAAATATTTAAATGGTTGGGAAGAAATAAAAGGAATAATGTGAAAATAAATTCAAGTTTCAGTGTCTACAGTTACTTGGGAACATAGCCACACTCACTTGCTCAGAGTGCCTAGGGCTGTTTTCATAACCATAGTTGTTGAGTAGTTGTGACTTCAGTGCCCAAAATATTTACTCGCTGGCTCTTTATTGAAAAAGTTTGTCAACTCCTGACCTGATTCTAATTTGCATATACCACCTGGGCAAACCACAAAGCCGATCCTGTTTCATAGTGGGGATAAAATCTACCAACATAGGTTTTTAGGAAGATCAGTACTGTAAGAATAGTATCTCAAGATACCCACAGAAGCCTAAGACATAAAGGCCTGAACATGTCCAAAGGGAGCTCATTACTTCCCTCTACAAATCTTCCTCCCTCAGTCCAGTGTCATGTAGTGTCTGAGTATGGACTTTAGGGTCAAAATGCTGGATTCCACTCTTGGCTCCACTATCTGTTAGTATGACCTAACTACATGATTCAGTAGAGGAGTGGGAAAGTATGGAGGTAAGTGCTTAGGCTTTTAAACGACAATGTTTCAGTCCTGGCTCTACCACTCAGAAGCTTGGAGATGTTAAGTAAATTACAAAACTTCTCTGAGCCTCTGCTTCATCTTTAATATGGGTGTAAAAAGCATATTGATGGGTTGTTGTAAGGATGAAATGACTTTGTGTATATAAAGTGTTTAGAAAAGTGTCAACAAAGCCCTATATGTTTGCTGTTGATTTCCTATCAGATTTAGGATAAAAAAAAAACTTCCCTTGGCCTTCCAAATCCTGAAATCTGCCCTCCATCTGCTTCTCTAGCTCCAACCTCCCCACTATGTTGCAGCCACAATAGCCTTTCTCACCCAAATCATACCAATTTATTTCCTTATGAGACACTTGCACTTGCTATTTGCAGTGGCCCCAGGACCTACCTAGCACAGGTCTTTTATCTGAAATACAGCACAGCACAATTGGAGCTGCCTTCCAAAGCCCTTAATAAACGTGATCAGGTAACACAGCTTGAAAAGAGGTTAGGTGGACCAGGCGTTATGAGCAGGCAATGGACATAAAACTGGAGGATTCTTCTGAGTGGTGCAATGGATGGATGGTTGACGGACAAACTTACACCTTCCAAAATCAACTTGTTTTGTTGTTTATCTTCCTTCTATTTCCTACCCACACTTGATACTCCCAGCAACGAAATCAGAGTCAGGCATAGAGAAGACAATATACAGTCCATGAATAAATACAATGAATAAATGAATGGATGAATGGGGGGACCACCCTCCTACAGATAAGGGGAACACAAATTAGTACCACCTTTTATCTTTGTAATTTATATAAAAAGTTTACATGTGTTTAATTTGTAGTAGACATCTACAGTATGGTCAGCTTAGCACCTCCTTTCCCCTGACAGGTGAACGACCTCCTCCCACATCTTTTGGGAACTAATGCTTACAGGATCCAGGCCCCAGCTGACTGGACAGTGGTGCAAACTTAACACCTGGGAGCTGTTAGCAGCCATGCTCTCCACCCATTCTATGAAAAAAGTTGGTTTGTAAAAAGAATGAAGCTATCAGAGAGAAGTCAAGATTGGGAAAGACACAGGTGGTCTGGATGGAGTTTGAGCCACAGCTGCCCTGGAGAACCCCCAGTCCTCTTCGTAGTTTAGATGTTCAACTTATCCTTCCATCACATAACAAGAGCTACCTCTTCAACAAGTTTTGTTTTTTTTTTTTGCTTCAACTAGTTCAAGGAGAAGGTATGATAATGTAATAGTCCTTTAACCTACTGCATAGTAAAGTCATCTACAGATTTCTTAAAACCAATGCATGGCTCTACTCCAGAACAATAAAATCAGAATCTCTATGGTCTGGGGCACCTTGGTCATTTCAAAAGGCACCCAGAATATTCTTCCAGGTATTTCACTTTGAGGAATCAATCTATCAAGAATATTCATGATATAATCAGATATACAGATATCTTTTGATCCTCACAAGATTGAAATACTTTAAACTTTTAAACTTAGTAACTATCAAACCACTAGTGTTCCTTTATCCATTGTAGTAGCAGTTCACATTACATCTCTTAGAATTGTTTATGTCAGGCCCAGCCCAGACACTCTCCTGAAGCCAGAATTTAAAACACATTCAGACACACACACAAAAAGAATTTAAGATTCATGTAATTTTAATCTCCCCACATACACATACAAAGTTCGTATTTAACTGATGTTGTAAGTCAACATTATAATGTGATTTGATTAGGGTATTTTTCATGCAAGGGTTTGCAAAGCAGCCAAAAACTGGTTTTATTTATCTTAGCCCAACAGCCTTCTCAAGGTTTTATAGGGGTTTAAGTCAAAGAAGAAAGATTTCCTTAGAAAGCAGCTCATGTTATGCAATGTCCAACTTGCCTCCTCACAAAGGATGAAGGGGATCCTCTCCCCCTATAATTTAAGCTTAACAGCCCAGACTGTCCTCTGAAATCTCTGGATCCCAAAGATCTCAGCAAACACATACCAGAAGAAGAAAAAAAAGGGACTGGCCAGCTAGCTGCCTAACTGAGAAGTGTCTACCCAGGAACAGCCTGCATTCCCAAAATTTTTAAAGAAAAGGATGAATATTTCACATATAGAACTGGCCTGTGACCACTTTAAACTGGACTTCTGACACCTTTAAGACTGGAGACCTTAGTGGAGCAAATCCCCAAAGGATGGTATACTGGAAACCAGGAATTGAGGGAAGAATAGAAAGTGGGCATCTGGGAAGTACTGTTTTTATCAGAGATTCTTAAGCATGGATTAGAATCGACTGGGTGCTTGATAAACCACAGCTTATTGGGCCTCACACCCTAGTTTGATTTAGGAGGTCTGGGGTGAGTGTTGAGAATCTGCATTTCTTACAAACCCCAAGTGATGTTTATGGGGCTGACTATGCGGTCTACCTTAAAAGAAAGGCCTGGCAGAACCTCAGATACAAGGTACCCTGGTGCAAGAGAGGGTGGAAGCGAGTAAACCAAAAGTGTGGAAATAAAATCTCAGTTCTCAAAAAAGTTGTCTTCTTTCTCAAGTCAAATCAGCAGGGGTTGAAAAGGTGGGTTAATGAAAGGAGGACCTAGTCCTTGGTCATTTCAGGACCCAACTAACCAAGCCTTTACCATCTTCAAATGGCTTCTAAAGTTATCCCAGGTGTGGCTATCCATCCAGCAGAAAAGAGAATGGAGGATCACGCCAAAAATCTTTATGGAGCATGGGCTGGATTTTTACATCCATATTCTACTTCTAAGAACTGAGGCACATGGCCTTACACAGATGTGAGGGGAATGAGAAAACACAGACCCTGGCAGGGCAGCCATATCTCAGTGACCTATCCCAGGGAAACATGTCCACTGGACATCTGACAGTCTGCCACCAAACCCCCCTTCCCATTGCAGGCTTCCTGCCTTAAGCAAGTCTCAGGTTAACTTTAAAGGAAGTGTCTAGCTAACTACATTCACATTTTAATTACTAAAATCAATGTTTGTAACTAAAAGTAATCAAAAGGCTTATTATCTAAGTGACTGGAAAAAGTTACAAGACCCATCCAGGATAGGGAGAAGAGCTGAGACAGTGTGTTTACTGTAGCAATCAAGACGGAAAATACAATATGAGGTTCCTCTCTCTTATCACATTACATTACCATTTTAGAGATTAAGCAAAGTTTTAAGTGAAATAATCTGAAGATTTCATAATTTCACATTTATACAGCTTGATATCCTTTATTTATCTATCATTCTTAAAGAAAATGACAAATATACTTTCAAGGATTAAAGCCTGCGATTACTGAGGATAGCTTCAACATCTACTGCAACTCCAAAAACAGGTATGTCCCACACAACAGCAGCACACGGTCTTGTCTAATGCCAGCAAACCCATTTGCCGACACTTGCCATGCAGTAAAATCACTGCCTGTAACATCTCGTAATTGATAAAGATGGAGCATCAAGCTGTTTACATGACTTCTAGTTCTATCTCTTTTATGACTCTCCAAGAGCAAATTAACTAAAATATGATTCTTTCTGCTGAAAGGAAAAAAGAAAAGAAAAATTTCCTTCATGGTCTTTCATTCATTTCATCAATGAGGACACACAAGGCAGCATCCTTCTCTATAATCTGGTCTCTCCTATGACCTGAATTGTCCCTTTGCTGTCCATTCTGTCCAGTACAATTGTTGCTGTCATCAGGATCCATTGACTCAGTTTTTACTCTCATCCCTGCTTCTGAATGGGGCAAATCATCAGGCAAAGCAGCCAAGCAATTTTGAATCATCTCAATGACTCGTTCCAGATGCTTTTGAAATCTCTCAGCTGTTTCAAGGCGCTGACGTTTCTGCACCTCCATCATGACTCTCAAGGTCTCTCTTGCTTGGTGGGGTCGGTATTCATTTATGAGATGATGCACATGTACAAAAAGCAGCTTAAGATCTTCTAACTTCTCTTCCCGTTTTATACTCCCAGGGCTTCTTATCAAGATATCTAAGAGGTCTAGGAAATTAATAAGGATAGACATATTGAGTTTTCTCAGTTCCTTCTTATGATCAAACTGCATAGGATGAAGCCGTTCGATGCCCTGACTTTCTAAAGGACGGATGATAAGGTCATCACATTGGAACTGGTTGCCAAACATCATATAGCTGTCTTTTATTGGAGGTGGAGGCTTGGGAGCCAGGCCCTCCTGAATATTTTCATCTGTATACTCCTTGATGTACTGCATTGGAGGTGGCGGAAGGGCACTCACTTGCTGTGGCTCACCCATCGTGGAGGATCAAGAACCTACAGAAATAGACCAAAGATTCAGAGCAGAGCTACAAAACAAACCTGTCACACTGGCTCACTACAGACAGAATAATTTCCTTTTCTGCTCCTGGCTGCTTGGACCCCAGGACAAAATGACATCCTAAGTTTCTAAAACTAACATTTACAACAGAGAAAGGCCGCCATCCTTTCCTAATTAGCATATATTATGAATCATCCAAGTATTTTTCCATCTCTACTTAATACACAATTCACTGCCTTACTAGCCTTCTGCATATTCACTTTTGTCATTATCCAATCTTGCTTACCTCCTAACTCCACAAAAACAGTTCATCAAGTAATTAACAATCACATGACCAAATTCAATGGGTATTTTTCTAAGGTGATAAACTATCACAGCACAATTTTCTCCCTTTTCAACACACACATTCTCCTCTCTCAGCTTTTGTGAGCCTACATTTGTTTTCCTCCTACCTCACTGGCCACTTGCTCTCAGTCTCCTTACTACCTCTCCTCTGTCCAAATTTTAATTTTGGTGGGCTTCAAAGGGTTGTTCTGGGCCTCTTCTCTCCCTTTAAGTGAGGAAATCACCAACTCAATTCCAAAGGTTGTTTGGTAAAAAGGCAGGCACCACAGAGAGTGAAGCCCTCTGGAATTAGCAGGAACGAAGCACATTCATGCCAGACCACAAAGCTTCCAGCCATCAGCATTCACCTGGGAAGGAAGATTCACTGTTTCTCAGTTTCTTGATGTTTTGATTTCAGGAGAGGGAAAAAATCCAGACTTTACATGAAACCTCACAATTTTTAAATACTGGTGATTAATTTCAGAAGCTGTCAAGTACTGTGAGGTCAAAAAGAACTTATCTACAATAATCCTCGTAGCCCGCTGGCCAGTAGACCTCTGCTCTATATTCTTCCTTGGGTAGTCTCAGTCAATCCAGCCTTTACTACCATTTCTATCCACGGTTCTAAACCAGGGCAATGTGCCCACCAACAGACATATGGCAAGGTCTGGAGACATTTTTAGTTGTCAGAACTGTAGGAGGGCATACTAGTGGCATCTAATGGGTAGAGGCTGGGGATGCTAAACACTTAAAATGCACAGGACAGCCCACCCCACCACAAAGAATATCCTGCCCAAAATGTCAATATGTTGTGCCAAAGTGGAGAGATCACAGTATATATGTTCATGACTATTTTTTGATCTCCAATCCAGACTATTTCTGAGCTCCTTTTGGATGTCTCAGTAAGTCATTCAACCTTAAAATAAATTTTCTGAAAAAAGAGTAATTCTTCGATTTGTATACACACACACATACACACCATAAATCCTGTTCCTCCCATAGTTTCTAAATACTTCCAACCTCAGCAAAATGTCCCATTACCTACCTACTATTTCAGGTCAGAAACTTAAAGGTTAGCTTAATCCTCCATTTTTACCTCCTGTCCCACATGTGAGCTTATGTTCAAGTCTGTTGAATCCACATCTTTATCTGAAATTCACCAGTTCTAAAAATGCTACCATTCCCTCTTGCCCAGAATACAATGATGTCCCCAGGGTTCTTTTTGCTTTCACTGTTGTTCTGCTACATAACAACCAGCATAATTGTTCTCATACCCTATGCCTTCTCCCTCATTATATCCTAGCAATACTGTCTTCAATCTAGTATTCTCACACAATTCTTAAACTATACCAACTTCCTCTGCCTGTGGATCTTTCCACACACTTCTCTTCCTCCTTCAGGCACTGGCTTAAAATATCATCTCTACAGAAATGACTTCTCTGAGTACTCATCAAAGAATCTGCTCCCCCAAAGAGGGAAGCAGATCCTGCCTTCCCTCTTTTATTCTCTGTACTACTATCTGATTTGATTCCCTGGTCAGCAAAAAGCTCCCCAAAGGGAACTTGATGAATATTTGTCAGGCATCTCCATTCATTTCAAGAGGGCTCCAAATCAATGGGAATTTGGAAGCAGGCACAAATATCCTTAATGTATATTCACTCCTTCAAATAATTAGTTTGTCTATCTATGAAAATGAGTATCCAGGAATGGTGTTCATGACAGATATTATCTGAGCACATATTATGTGCCAGATGTTCTAAATACTTTTCTCATGATTGTGAGAAACCAGAGAAGAGAAAGGTACTCTTTCCATTTTAAAGAAGAGATGACTACGGCTCAGAAAGGTTAGGCTGCTTGAGGAAAGTCAGAGTAAGTAGTAGAAGGATTCAGAAACTAAAGATCTTAAACAATACATTATCTTCAAGAATAAGCAAGAAACAGCCTCCATCCTAGTGTTGTTGTCAATTTATCAAGGAAAACAGACAAGAAATAACTAGCTACAAGTTTTAAAGCTACTACAAAAAAAAAAAGATCAACAGGTCTGACTACCAAAACACATCCAAAAACTCCATATAGGAAAATAAAAGCAAAATTATAAGACAATCCCATTCTTCTGGGAGAAAAATGTTTGCAAGTTAAAAAAGGGAGATACTAGAAATTTTGTTTTGATTTTTTTTTTATGTTTTTTTCTGAACTGCATCCCCTCCAGAAGAAAAGAACTATGACTTCAGGAATTTCCTGTCTTGTTCACAACTCCACGTCCAGCACCTCAAACAATACCTAGAAGGTGTTAGACCCTTGATAAAGGTCCACTGAGTGAGGTTTTCTAAAAACCTGTATTTTTTTAAAAAAATAGAAAAATAGGCAACAAAAGGTAACAAGGAAAATGCAAATGCTGTATAAAGGTGGGAGAATATTGAGACTGATACTCTTAAAAGCAAATTTTTAAAAGGATGCTTTTTATTTAACAGACTATCAAGATTTCAAATATTCCATAATTCAACAAACATTAGAACACCTTTTCAGCAGGTCTGGATTCCAGCAGAGATCACACTCTCCTTCCTCTGAGTTTCTTTAATGGTCACCTCAATCTTAGAAGCAGAAATCTTAGCTATTCTGGCTTTGTAGCAAAACCTTCTGAGATGGGGCGCATCCCTCACCTCAGCTCTTATATAAGCCTCCATCACGACCATCACATAACATTCGGTGGTAAACTAGTACCACCCGAGAGAATATAGGGAATTCTCCTATACGACTGACAGAAAAGGATACAAATATACATTGGAATTTCATTTGGAATACTATAATTTAAAATGCTGATATTCTTTGAACCAACAACTCTATTTCTAGAAATTTACCCTAAGAAAATATCGGTACAAGTACACAAAAATATATATAAGATTATGAATGTTTAATGCAGCACTGTTTGAAAAGAGTAGGAAAAAAAAAGGTGGAAATAACCCATCACTTCATCAATATGACAGCTGGATAAAACTGTCTAAGCAATACAATACAGCCATTAAGGAAAAAGGGATTAAAGTGCATGGGGTGAGGGGGGTAGTTTTAAACATTGCAGTTTTACTCATTTACAACACACTAATAATAGTTGCAAATAGCTGTAATCAACTTAAAACTTTTAAAATACAGTTACAAAAAAGTTGTACAAAGAGTATAAAGAACATTCCATATTCTTCATCCAGATTCTCCAAATGTTAACATTTTCCCTCAATTTCCTTACAGGTCTCTCATTCCTGTACCCTCAAATACTACAAGCATTTCTCTTGTAAACATACAATTACCAAAATCAGAGAATTAGCACTGATGTGGTACCTAAGAATAAATTTTAGACAGCCCAGGATTCACCTCACTCAAGCTTTTTTAGGTTGGAAGTCCTGTTTTGTGCTTCCCAGCACCATGTGGATTGCTCTATTTAAGCCGCAATTTTCTAAAGGCCAAATATGTAACAGGTACCATTGCTTGTAGCCTCTTAGTCTTCATAAATCTTGAGTAAAGTACTATTATTAATTTCATTTTAGAGATGAGGATCCCAAGCTTCATTAAGGGGAAGTGTTTGCAACAGATCAAAAGACTACTACTACTGGCACAGCAGGAATTCTTACGCTTGGTCCTTCTAGCTGCACAATACAAGCTCTCTTCAATCAGTAAAACTCTGAAGCTTATAACTGTACAACTGGAACGTGACATATTACAGAATCCGCTTACTTCTCTTATCACTTCTCTAGACTGAACTTTCCAAAGACGATGGAGGCCTTTAATAAAACCAGCGCCAGGTATCATATCCGGCTATCAGACTCAAGGACAACCTTCTGATATTTATTCCATTCTGGGGGCTTAACCAAAAACAAAAGGTCTTCGAAGGTCTCACCCCCAGACATTTGATTTATTCTGCCTTCCGCGAATGCGGCCGCTGGAATGCAGCTTTTAAAACCTCTCCACATGAATCTGACGATTAGGCTTGGGATCCACCTCCCTTCCCCGTTTCCCATTAATCCAGCTGATGTCAGGACTGCTCCCTGAGGAGGAAAGGCAGGTGGTTATTCTCATTTTAAAAAGGCCAGAGAGGCCCGATGACTCCCCCAGGCCAACAGCCTAGCAAACGAGCGGCGCGGGGCTGGAACCCCGGACTCCCAAACCTGCAGTCCGGCTTGGCGACCCCACACGGAGGGAGCCCCAAGCCCAACGCGCTGAGGGCACCTCCCGCCGGGCTGTCCACCCGGAGCTCCGCGGGCGGCGGGGGACACGCAAGGGGAAGGCAGGCGACCGCGGCCTGCGCTAGGCCTCCCGGGATCCCTACCCGCCCTGACGAAGCCGCGGGGTCCGGAAAGGGAAATATGCGCGGAACCGAGCCGCAGGCCGTCACCACCCACTCGCCTCAGCTCTGCGTTTAGACTGATAGTCGCCTCCGCCTCCGCAGCCGGAACCGACTTCCGGCCTCCTCCTCCAAGAGCGAAAGCCACCACCGCTGTCCCTTGATTGGCTGAAAGAGCTGTCCTTTAACCGATTGCTCGCTGTTACGTCTGCGCCTATTTCTCTTCACCCGCCCCCCCGCCCCCCGCACCCCTGCTGCTATTGGGCTGCGGAGTGACCCGCGGCGATTGCGGTGGAGTAGGTCTGTTTGTGTTCTCTGTCGATGAAAGTGGCGGCTGGTAGTTCCGTTCCTTTTCGTTTCTTTTTAACGTTAAAATTAAACAAAGTTAGCCATATGCCTTACATAAAAGAAAGTACAGATAATTTTTTAAAATTATAATCAACTCTAACCCCACTGTCAAAAATAACATTTAAAAGAATGAGATGGACTCTATATGCTAGTTATATACATTTTTTAATCTGGAAATATTTGTGCACATGTTAAGACTCAATAATATATTATCAATTTCCATTTCTTCACATCCATTCACTTTTTATCTTACTTAGGAATTCAGAGATGTCCACTGTATTTCTAGGCAAGAAATTAACAAGTTAAGAAAAAAGAGGTTTCCTTTGAAGGTTATTTTCATAAAAGGTGTTAAATTTATAAATTTAGGAGAATTTTATAAGAGCATATTGCACATAAAAAATAAAGGTGGTTATTCTGATAGAAGTTCTCAATTTTAGCTCTTTAAGGTCCTTTGATTTCATTTTCTAAATGCCTGTTATGGAGAGTTCCAAACATACACAAAAGTAGAGAAACAGTGTACTTATAACCCAACTTCAACAACTATCAACCCATAAATATTACTTCATATTAGCATGCATCTCTAGAAGTTAAGCACTCATTTTTTTAACATAACCGCAGAACCATTGTCTCATTCAAAAATAAATGAATAAAGATTTAATATCAGTATTTGGATCCAATTGTATCAGGATCCAATAAAGTCCACCCCTTTGTGCCAGGTTGATGTGTCTTTTTATATTTTTAACCTGTGGGTTCCTTCCACCATCTCAGTTTTCCTCCACATCAATTTATTTGTTGAACAAATCCATTCACTTTTGAACCTACCCCAATCAGGCTTTTCTCCCTGCAATTGAGACCAATTATAACCTACACCCTGACCACCAATGGTCTCTCGTAGTCCTCATTTTACTCCACTCTTGAGTAAAATCTGGCACATTTGATCATTTGCATCACCCCAGGACTCAGATCTCACTTTTCAGTGGGATATCTTCTAGGAGGCAATACCCATGTGATATCCAGGTCCTGGCACACCTTCTCCTTCACATTCAGACCCCCTTATCCAACAATATTATACATCTTTATTCAATTGCACTTCACTCAATTTCAAAGGCTCAAATCTAAAAATTTGTCTTTTATTCCTCTTTCTCCCATACTTCATTGCAACTATCATACTGACGTTTTGTATTAGTTTTATTTAGAAATAAGTAAAAGTCCCAAATATAACTTAATTTTTACCATTCTCACTACTGTGGTCCTAGTCCATGCCACCATTATCTCTCCTGAACTTCTGAAACAATCTTCTAAATGATTTCCTCATTTCCATTTTTCATCTAATTCAGTCTGTTTAACAAACTGCCTTAAAATTTAAGACAGACCTGAGCACTCCTCTATTTAAAGTTCTCCAAGGTTTCCTATCATGTTTACAATGAAATCTAATGTCCTCACTGTGGCCTATATAAGGCCCTGCAAAATTTAGTCCTGGCTACTTCTTCATTAATATTTCCTACTATTTTGGCCAGGATCACTCTTCTCCAGCTACAGGCTTTATTTCTTTCTTTCAAAATTGCCAAGCATACTCCTGCCTCAGGGTTATTTCATCTGCCTGGAGCCCTCTTTTCACAGATACTCACATGCCTTACTTCCTCATTTCATTCAGCTTCTTTGGTCAAGTGTGACCTCACAGAGGTCTTCCCTGGTGACTCAATATAGAATAGCACATGCGCAGTCATTCCTTCTGGGGAACAGTCCCAATCCCCTTATTGTGAGTTACTTACTATGTTTAATATTCCTTCCTTTATGGAACTTATGTGATACCATATTAAATCATGCATTTATTTATTTTTATTTTCTTTCTTCCCCAACAAAACACAAGGTTCATGAACATAGTGACTTTAGTCACTGCTGCATTCTCAGCCCCTAGAACAGTGCCCCAAATTGGCAAAGTAGTCAGTGAACATTTATTAAGTATAACAATGAATATAATTATCATTCAAATGAATTCAGTGTGATATTGATAAACCACAGTCTATTTAACCAATGCACCTTTGTGTGAAATTATTTTCCACCCAATTTTTTGCTATTACTAGTATCTTGGTGCATACATGTTTGTGCACATGCCCAGTTTTTGTCCTTGAGATAAATTTCTAGATATGGAATTACTGGCCACAAAGGTGTCTTAGAGTTAGTGGCAGGATCAAGGCTAGAATCTAGAACTCTTGACTCTCAGTCTAGTGTTCTTTACAATCAACTACAAATGAATAATAGTATGAAACTCATTGTTAGATGGGCTAGTGAAAATATAGCATATCATAGACATTTATTTAAATGGCTATATTTCCAGAGTTGAAGGGAAAATTTATTCCTTGGAAATGACTCCTATAGCTTAATAAGCAACATCCGTTCAACACATTTATTGTGTGTCTACTGTGCTATGCATTGTTCTGGAAGGTAAAAAACACAGACAAAAGCCTTGCCTTCTAATGGAGAGACACAGACAACAACAAGAAAACAAACAAGAATTTCAGATAATGTAAGGGCTATGGGAGAAAAGGATACAAAATAATGTGATAATTATGTGGGTTGGTGAGTAGCTACTTTACAGACTGTGATCAAGGTAGCCTCTCCCAGAAGGTGACTCTGGAGCTAAGACATCAGTGCCAAGAAGGAGTCAACTGTGTAAAGATCTGAGAGACCGCAGGTGCAAAGAGCCTGAGGCTGCCATGATCTTCCAGAGTTAGCAAGGCAAGAAGGGAGCCTGTGTGCTCCACAACTAATGAGCAAAGGGAGAGGGAGAGGGCAGGAGGGGGCAGAAACAGGCAAG